TCCCCAGTAAACCGGTAAAGGGTAGGAAGTTTCATAAGCTAAGAGTTTCCCTGGAGAAATCGCCCCCTGCCTATCTCTTCCTGGCCCCCTCCAGCTCCAGGTTGGAAAGTCCTAGACCCTCTAGATACGCAGAGAAATGTTTAAGGGCTCTGCCGGCTCAAACTGCGGGGTAAATGGCCCGCGGGCTGATTTATGGTGCGTTACTGTGCGACGCGATTCCCCAAGACAGCGAGAATATTTTACACCGTGCTAATATAAACAGGCGGCCGGCCGGGTCCTTTTTATGGAGTTCCTGTAATTACCCGGACCCTGACAGGTCCTTGATTTACTGCCCTATTTAGATAAGGGGTCCAGTGCGGGGATTGCCCGTGGCGTCAAGGTCACAGGACGCGGTGGTGGGGAGCAGGTTTTGTGGTAGGCGCCTTGCCCGGCTTGCCCTTTGTAGGGGCGGGGAGTGAGGGGAGCAGGAGAGGGATCCTGCCCTCACTCCAGGCGGCTCAGGTATCTTAGGCGTCCATTGCACAGATGGGGTAACTAAGGCCGGAACCCTTCAAAGTCATTTAGCAAGGCAAATGTTGTTGGAAGGGGACCCGGAATGCAGGTCTCTGGGAACCCAGTCCTCCTACCTGGTCTCCAGCCCTCAGGCAGCTGAGTTCTGCAGGGTAGGTAGGAAGAAGGAAGGGCCCCAGGTGGTCATTAATGGGGTCAGGACCGGGGCAGCCTGGCCTCTTCCCCCCAGAAGAGCTCTCTAGCGTTGTAGCTGCGTGTAATTCAGTTCTTCTTGGGGAACTCATACTCCTAACCAGCAGAACCACCTTTAACCAGGGCTACCGTTAGCAAGCTGAGCTCCGCACCCACACCATTTCAGTTCAGTTTACACCAGTCCTCTGGGCGGGGTGGGTGTTACTGTGTCCCCAGTGACAGAGGAGGAAACTGAGGGTTTGAACAGAGAAGAATGGTAGCACCTGGTTTAACTGCTCTGCCCGCTGCCCTGAGAACGCCTTTAACGTGATCTTCCGTGAAATGGAGGGAAAGGTCCTGCCCAGCCTCACCAGTGCAACTGGGGGAAGAACTGAGCTGCGTGCATTGGAAATTCTGAGAGCCCAAATTGCTGAAGCCACTGTACTAGTTGAGTGAGGCAGGTTGGGGGCACTGCAGGGGACCTGAGAACTGGCCAGCAGGACCCGAGGGCCCCTGGCTCCTAGGGTCTGGGTAGAGAAGGAGCCCTCCCTTTGGGGCCCAGGGCACAGGAGCCAGGGTGAGCCCATCAACAGTGGGGGTCAGTCCTATTTGCTTTTTTCACAGAGGGGGAAACTGAGGCTCAGAGCTAGAAAGGAGCAAAGTAAGGTCCTAGACAAGGCTAGAATTGAACTGGAAACCACACGTTTTGACCGCCAGCCAAAAACATTTTTGGTCAAACTCCTAGGCCCCAGCGCCCCCTTTAGCCTGGGGGTGGTGAAGGAGAGAACATCCTCCCCAGGTCCTCCTGGCCCTGGAGCTCTGCACACTCCTCAGGATCTTGAGCCCTGCTGGCTTTGCGAGCACTTGGGAGACTGATTTGCTCTGGCATAAACGTTCTGCCTGGGGTGACCCCACTCCCAGCCCAGCAAGTCCCTTCAGGCTGTGTTCCCAGTGAGGGCACCACAGGACGGGTGGGCAAAGGGGAAGGTCACAGGGCTGACCCTGGCACTGGTGGCTGGGATAGCCTGGCTCCTTTACATTCACAGGGTAGTTGGTGCCAGGCAGTCCTGGGGCCCTCTAGAAGGGGCGGTGTCCTGGGGACCCTCACCTAGTCTGGTGAGCACCTAGCTGGTTTCCTAGAAGGCACATACATCCCTGAATGACCTGCATGCTGTCTAATGTCGGGAAAGTCACAGGGACACATGTGGGTGCGTGGGTGAGAGGATGGGGGAGCTACATGTGGGTAGCAGTGTATTTCACAGGGAGTCATTGTGGGTACCCGGAGACCCAGTACACCATAGTGCAATCTCATCTTTAAGGACTGTGAAAGTGACTCTTCAGACAAGGCTGACCCTGTCAACTGCATGTGTGAGATTTCTGTGCCTGTGTAATGTGAGAATGTCCATTTGTGAGCACGTGTATATATAGTAATGTTGTATAGTGGGTTTTGTTTTCTTTTGCATATTGGGGTTCGAACCCAGGGCCTTCACACTAAGCCACATCCCTATCTGTTTTTTATTGATTTATTTTTAATTTGGGGGGATTTATTTCTTTCCTTTTCTTTCTCTCTCTCTCTTTCTTTCGTACTGCATTTGCCAGGCAGGCACTCAAATAGCTAAGCTATATCCCTGACCCTGCCTTCTTTTACTTTTTGGGACAGTCTCACTAAGTTGCTAAATTGACAGATGTGGCTCTAATTTGCAATCCTCCTGTCTCAGCCTCCCAGAGTCCTGGCATTACAGGCTATTGTCATCATGCCTGCACAGGGCTAGTTTGTTTTTTTCAGACTGAGTTCCACTATGCTGCCCAGGTGGTGTCTAATCAAATTCTTGGACTCAAGTGATCCTCCTGCCTGAGTCCCCTGAATATCTGATCCTACACATGGACGTGCTTACACCCCAGCTGGTCTAATGAATTTTGGGAAGTTTGTGGTGTGAATACAATTGGAAGTTGTGAAAAAATATGAACTTTTTGCATGTGTGTGTAATTGTGACAGTAAGATTATGTCGTCTGCATACACTTAGAATTTCTGTGCCCGGGCTATGTGACTGGGTTGTCATGTACTCCTGAGGGTAGGGATGGGAGTGTATTCCTGAGGGTAGGGATGGGTGTGCACCCCCCACCGTGACACATCTGCAGCTGATGTGCACCCATGAGTGACAGAGGCAATGTGTCAGACCCCAGGAATGCCTGGGCTTTGAGATGCTGTGTGTACTGTGGATGTGTGCATTGCCATGGGGGTGCATGGACTTTGGGGTGCTGTCTGAATAGTTGCACTTTTGCAGGTGCCAGAGAGCTGTGTACATGGACACGGCTGTGTGTGACTGGAAGCTTCCTACTGGAGCTGCTGAGCACCCCCCTCAGACTAGGACAAAGGCTGGGCGTGCCTGCCTTGTGGACGGAGGTCCACTCCTCAGGCGTAATTACTGTACTCCATCTACCTTACTTGCAAATGCTCACTCAAGAGCGCCTCCAGGCTGGGAGCCGCCTCCGAACCGGGCGCCGGGGCGCTCCCTCCCTGCGAGCCTCTGGCTCCAAGAGCTGAGCCCAACCCCAGGGCTGCTGGCGCCAGGCGCCGGGAAAAGCGGCGGGTTTGCAGCCAGCCTCAGGCAGGAAAACCAGGACCTCCCTGGGTTCCGCCACCTCCTACACCTCCAGGGTGCTCAGCCCCAGTGAGCTCCCACAAGTGGACACAGCCTGCTCTAACCTAGGTGATCGTCCCCTTCCATGGACGCTCTAAAAGAATGTGTGTCCCCACAGAAATACACACGCACACCCACGGCATGGATAATGTCTCACTCTTGCATTCCTTGGGTTTTACAAATTATCTTTATCACGGCAGGCAGAGTACACCTCTGCTCCACGTGCACTGCCACTGCTGGGCCCAGAGAAAAGTTGTTTATTCTGCTTGGACCTTGGGATCCCTATCTGCCTAGGGAGAGACCTGGGCCTTCTCTCTCTGCCTTTGGACTGGTAACTGTGCCGACCACAGCGTCCTCATGGATAAACAATTTTTGAGTGATTGCATAAATAATGATTTTCCCTCTTAAAAAAAACTATTCATGTAATCCTCTTCACTCTAACCTCAACACTGCTTTTTGACAGGTAGGAACTTTCCCTCTACCCCACCTAGGGGAGAGGTCTAGCTGGGAAAGGTTGTGGAGCTCTGACACCCCCAGGTACGTGGACATCTCCTAGCAAGGTACCTTAAGGAGAAGTGACAAGAGTCCCAGCTGGAAATGTGGCCCCCATGGGATTCCCAGGTTCTCACTGGAGCCTGGGAAATCGCCCCATGGAGAGAATCAGACCACAGGCAAGGGCCCAGCCCCACGGGAAACAGGAAGGGCCCAGCAGCCCTGACAGCCTCTTCAAGGGTGGGTACAAGGTGCCCCCAGTATCTGCCTTGTCTTCCAGCCGCCCCATGCTGTGTAGGCTTGGTGCCCTCTGTGTGTGTTCCCCAAAGTGTGATCTTCTGCAACAGTGTCTTTACAGAATCCAGCATTCTCAGGGCAGCTTTGGGTAGAGGAACCCAGCACAGCCCTGTTCCCAGCTCTCTCTGCAAGCCCTGCTGTGGACACACAGCGGCCACACGCCTGAGGGCTAAGGCGGAGGCCAGACCGCTTTTACGTCAGCCAGGCCTGCTGGCCCTTTGACTCCATCAGGCGCCTGGGAAGTGAGAGGAGCAGACCTCAGGCCCTGGAGCCCGGAACAATCCGCCAACCGGTAAATGTCCACAGGCTTGAAGTCCGGACCTCTACCGTCCCCCACTCCCACCTGGCGGGTAAGCTTCTCTGCTGGCCAGGAGCAGCCGGCCAGACTGATGACACTGTTGGGGACTAGCTGCTGGGTACCACAGGGCATGTGCCTGGCTCCCAGTCCTCCCAGAAGCGGCAGATGGAGACGGGCGGGGCGGAGGTGCTGGGGAGGCGCACTGAGGCCTCTGCTGCCTCCCAGGCCGAGCACCCGCATTGGAGTTCTGGATTGGGAGCGGCTGGAACCTTTATTCTGAACTCAGCCGAGAACCAAGGACCTTCTCTTTTCCTCTTCCCTCTCTGGGTCTCAGTTTCCCTGTCTGTAAAACTAAGAAGTGGACTTTAGGCGAAGGCTTTCTTTCCTCCCGATTCTAGGTTCTTTTCCTTGGATGCACAGGGGTGGGTCTGCAACCTTCGGGGGCAGCTGCAGCCTCTGTCACCAGTACAGCCCCCGCCTCCTAGGCGGGAGCGTGAGATCCGCGTCGGAGGCGGGGCCTCTCCCTGTCGCCTGGCGGCTGCAGTCTGTGGCTTTTCCAGTAGACCCTGGGACGGCCACCCCCCTTCCCTCCTCCCGCCCCCCGCCATTGGCTCCGGGGAGAGTTTGACATCAAAGCTGCGGCCTTATATAAGCCAGACCCTGAAAGGGAGTCCGCAGAAGGGTTAAACGGGTCGTCCTGGCTACGATTGAGTGCGCGGTGCCATCTTCAGCCCTGCCCAGGACTCTCTGAAAGCCGGCGCCCAGCACCGCGCGGCCCGGGAGCCCACGGGTGGCCCCGGTCGTCTGTGGGGGCGCATGGGGCGGCGCTAACTGGGCTGGCGGCGCAGGCCAGGAGCCTCTCCAACATGAACCTCGTGGGCAGCTACGCACACCATCACCACCATCACCACCCACACCCCGCGCACCCCATGCTCCACGAGCCCTTCCTCTTTGGCCCGGCCTCCCGCTGTCACCAGGAGCGGCCCTACTTCCAGAGCTGGCTGCTGAGCCCGGCGGACGCAGCCCCGGACTTCCCTGCAGGCGGGCCGCCACCCGCAGCCGCTGTGGCCGCAGCCGCCTACGGTCCCGATGCCAGGCCTGGCCAGAGCCCCGGGCGGCTGGAGGCGCTTGGGGGCCGCCTGGGCCGGCGGAAAGGCTCGGGACCCAAGAAGGAGCGCAGACGCACGGAGAGCATTAACAGCGCGTTCGCCGAGCTGCGCGAGTGCATCCCCAACGTGCCGGCCGACACCAAGCTCTCCAAGATCAAGACCCTGCGCCTGGCCACCAGCTACATCGCCTATCTGATGGACGTGCTGGCCAAGGACGCACAGGCTGGCGACCCCGAGGCCTTCAAGGCGGAGCTCAAGAAGGCCGACGCGAGCCGAGAGAGCAAGCGGAAAAGGGAGCTGGTGAGTGGGGCCTGCAGGCGATGGCTCAGGGCGCGGGCGGGGCGCCGGCAGGGCAGGCAGTGGCCGGGCTGTGCGCTTTTGAAAAGGCACAGGGAGTTGTAGAGCCGGTCACAGCGTGAGAGCGTGTGCAGTGGGAGGCCGATTCGCGACAGAGTCAGCGTGCCCTAGGACAGCGCTCGCCAGGCCCAGCGAACAGAGAACCCAAAGCTTTCCAGAGGCTCTGGGGCCCTCTCCAGGAGCGTACGGGGGAGCCTCGGTCCCAAGAAAGTGCCCATTTTGCTGCCAATTCGGAGGAGCAGGCCCCGCCCTGCATTCTCCTGGAAGCCGGGTTAAGAACGCAAGCGGGAGTCTGTGACTTCAGTTTGCTTGAACGTGACAGGGCCCAGTGGCCGGGTTTAAGGGGCCCTTTCGGGAGAGGATCATCTATTTTCGTGACTGTACAGGTGGGGAGAGAAGGTGTCCCCTGGTGGGACAAAGCCAAGCGCACCTACCTGAGGAGTGCGCCCGAGGTGGGGGTACGACAGGGCCAGTCCTCAGTCCGCAGCGTGCGCCGCCTGCTCCACCCCTCTGGGGCTGGCTTTGCGGGCAACCCCAGAGGTTTTGAATGTAAACAAGCACAAGAGCTACTGGCTTCGGAGCCCCCACTCGGCCTGTCTGGATCCTCCCCAGTTAAGGTGATGCTAACCTAGCGCTCCGGGCGGCAGGATCTGGGGCGCCGCGATTTCCGGACTTGGCGAGTGAGTGCGCGGCGGCACCGCGGCGCCTGCGGTGATCGGCGGCGGCGAGCTCACCTGGGGACCCGGAGGCGCGCACAGGCCTCGGGTCGCCAAGCCGCTGCCCTGGGCCCCGGGAGCGCCTCCTAGGACGTAACTGTAGGGCGGGTCCTGGGGCCCCACGCGGCGCTGCCTCCTGTAAGTAGAAAGGCCGGGTGGCTGCTCCAGGAGCCAGGAAGGAGACCTCGGGGCCAGGCCGGTGCCTTCCTCTGCCCAGCCACCCGAGGCGCCCATCGGCGGCTCCAGCGCACCAAGCCCTGTGTGTGGAAGCCAGTTGCTAATCTAGGGAAGTTGGTGGGACCTGCAGGTAGTGGGAACAGGTCTATGAGCCGGGAAATAGTTGATTCCCATCCGTGCCAACTTCCAACACCCTTCGGCCTCCCTTAGGTGCCCAGAGCCAAACGTGCGCGCACCGGTTTCACCCAATGCAGAAAATTCTTGCTACCAAACCTCCCCATCATCCCCATCCCATCCCACATCCCAGGACTTGGCGCATAAAGGCTAATTTATGAGCCTGTTTGCCTATTTTGCAAACAGAAATCCGTCACTTGTTTAAAGCCTGGAAGTCACAGCTCTCTGCACCTTCCCCGCACCCCTACCCCCAGTCCGGGTGAATCGGAGCAGAACGATTTAAACCTGTTCTCTCTCGCCCCTTTCCCCATGTGTCTGGCAGCCGCAGCACGAAGGCTTTCCGCCTGCCCTGGGCCCAAGCGAGAAGAGGATTAAAGGGCGCACCGGCTGGCCGCAGCAAGTCTGGGCGCTGGAGCTAAACCAGTGAGCCCCAGACCTGCGTGAGGACCTGGCCCCGCTGGCCGACCGCGCCCGGGACAAGAGGAAGGCGGAAGGCGGTGGCGAAGGCCAGGCTCTGGGCTTCCGGGGCTCGTGCAGGAGTGTACGCACAGCCTCTGCCCAGCGCTGGCAGGTCGCCGGCCGCAACCACACACTTGGATCGCACGTGCAATGTCCTTTGAAATTGTTTTAAAATACATTAAGAGAAAGAGAAATTTATATATATATGTATATGTATATCTCCATTTCCTCTAACTGAGGGCGACTCATGGACTACGGAACCCAAGCGCCCAAAGACCCTCCCATCCAACCCTGCTGTGCCCAATTCAGAACCCCCAAGCGCAGGCCTGACTCTGTCTTCCCCCTGCCCCACTTCGCGTCAAAATCCCCCAGGCGTCTTCTTGAGTAGAAATGCAGTAAGAGGAATCAACAGTTTTCCGCCAGGAAAATAGAACCAAAAGCAGCAAGGCCGGGGGCAGACTTTTGTTGCTCCCTTTAAAACCGCAGTGTTTTGATTTTATTTTTATTGCTGCACTTCCTACCTAGTGCCTCTCTGTCTCTCTTCTGTCTCTCTTCCTCCCTCCTTTCTAAATAAAAACCTTCCCCGCGCCGTAAAGTTTTTATGTATTTAAACTACCTACCAAGCCTGTTGCGCTCAGGTGTTGCCCGCCCGGCCCCACCCTCTTCTACCTCAGACCTGTAAGACCACTCACCGCCCTCCCTTTGCCAAAACAGCATCTGCGCTCTTGACTAATAAAACGTTTTCCGATATCGCTGGAAGCCTGCCTGATGTCTCAGCCAGCGTCCCGTCCCCAGCCGACTCTGCGGATCCTGCTAGGTGGCGGCCTGAGTCCGCACCTTTCTCCCCTTGATAAACACCAAACCAAACTGCGAGTCAAGTCGAGGGACCCAGGCAGAGCTGGGATCTGCTCCTGGAACGAAGAGTAAAGTTCTTAGGCTGTAACCTCAGGACAGGATAATTCACGCGAGCGGGAGAGGACCCAGAGGATGGTCAGGGTGGGTATGCGAAGGTCAGTAAGTGCACCGGTGTCCCCAGACTGATTTTTGGAGGGGTGGGATTCTGCGGGGAGGGGAAAGGGGCCATCGCACAAACCTGGGCCGTTCTGGGGTCGGAGGGGGGCGATGCGCTGGGGGACACGCTCATGCTCATGGGTGTGACATTCCGAACGTGCGCGTGCAAATGTGTGTGACTGCACGGCGGCTGCTCTCGCGGCCCGCTCTGCCCAGCTCCGCGCGCTGCGGCGGTCAGCTTGAGTACACTCGGCTCGGGGGTGCTGCAGGTTAAGGTGAGGCGTTTATAGTTTCCCCAGCCACGCAGTATCCCAGGAGGGAGCTGCAGGGGGCCAAGCTGTGCGTTGCTGGCGTTTCTTTCGAGAGCTGGGCCCCGGGGTCTTCGCGTGCGCACCCCAAGCTGGGCGCGCGACTGCCCTAGGGCGCGGACGGGCGTTGGGCAAACCCAGGGCGGGCGCACGCACGCGTCTACGCTGTGTGCACTTGGTTTTATTTGCGTGCAGCCGAGCGACAGGCACTCCACTGAGCGCTTTTATGTCCCCCAGCAGCCTCCACGCCCCGCTGCAGGCGACCCAGCTGTGCGGTTTGCGAGGGCTCAGCTCTCTGCAGGCGCAGACGGGCTCCCAGACCCAGTGTGAGCTCTGACTTGCGGACCAAAAAGGAGACCCGGGCAGCTCCGGGGTAGGGCTTCGGGAAACCCTAGGTGTGCCCTAGGCGGCTCATCCCCGCCTCGGGGTGAATACGGGGGCCCTTTACTCCTGGCTATAAACACCGTGGCAGAGGCAGAGAGGCCACGCGGGCCTTTCCGGACTCGAAGGAGTTAATAAAAGGTGTTTTATGGGCGCCAGGAGAAGGTGGGGGAAGTGTGAGCCTCTCCCTACTCTAGCCCCCCTACTTTTTTTCTTTTTTCCCTTTCGCCACCCGCCGCCAGATCAAACAGACCCGCGATTTAACTAGGGCAACACCTCAAGGTAATGAGCGGGCCCGACGCGCCCCTCCCCCGGCTTACAAATGGGGCTGGAGGCCCCCAGACCCCAAGGGAGCAGAAAGAAAAACCCCGGGTTCTTTAGCTTTTAAATTCCACGAACCTTGAATCCTTTTGGAAATGCTAGCATGCGTAGGGAAACGGATCCAGGAAGCAAGCGGCCGGAGGGCCCACATAGCGCTGGATTCGAACCCAGGACTCCAGTTCAGCGTGCACATATGAACCTCTGGCTCTGCACAAGGCCCAGCTCGCGCTATTTTTAGCACGGAGAAGTATCCTAGGCACGGGAGGAATGCGCACCCGTGTCCTGCTTTCTGACGGCCAGAAAAAAGAGAGGGGTACCTACCCAGGGGCACCGCCAACAGGGGCACAACCAGGCCTCTTCAGAAAACCCCATCCAGCTGAACCAAATCATTTTGGGGCACAGAGCGGGCAGACCCCTCATTTGAGTCTGCATGAAGTCTCTTCCCGGTCTCAGAACCCGGATCCGCACGCTGAGTCGGAGCCTTTTGAGGGGATCGCCCCGTACTGTGCCTCTTTTTGCAGTCTACGAACACCCGCGCCATGTACCCTGGGCCTCTCCACGGCAGGAAAAGCCGAGCGGGAGAGGGGGACCGAGCAGCCTGGGGGCCCTCTCCAGCGGGCGCAGGGCTCCCCACGCCAGGCCCGCTCACCCTTCTCTAGCCTGCTCCTTTACAAAGTTCACTCGAGCTTGCGATTATCTTATTCTCTGCCCAGGTTTCAACACAATTGGCCGCACACCTCAAGCCGTTTCTGGCAGAAGCGGGGTTATATTATTTTAAATTAATTGCATTATCTTTTCACATAGAAAAGTGAAATGGCAGTGACCTTAAACTGCGTGAATATTTCATAATGAAACCCTTGACAAAATAAAAAAGAAAAAGAAAAAAAAGAAAACACCGATTCTGCAAGGATTTAATAACAAAACTAGTGGGCTAAGGTTGAAAAACAGGAAAAGACACGATGTGGTTTCTTAGAGAATTAATCAAATAAACGGATCGATCAGGACAGTGAATTATTACTCAGCCATTAGGGGAAAAAAGCGGGAATTGATGTGAAATTTGTCCATGATATATGAAGTGGGGGAACACTTCCCACTATACTAACCACTGTCCACTGTGACCTTTTATATGAAAGTGTAAATAAATATTCATTGAGAAAATGTGGAAAAGTATTCATTAGAAACGTTTGCACCTCTACCCTGGCTTCTGGGACTCAGAGTTATTTTTACTTTTCCTCTTGCTTGGCTATATTTTTTCTAAGTTTTTTTTTACAATGAATAAATATTACTTTTGGGATAAAAATTAAGCTACAATTTCCTTCTGATTTCTCTGACTGCCAGCATACTTTCAACACTGTCTGCAGCTTACTCAACATAAATTTGTCGAGTGCCTTCCACCGGCTAAGCACCATGCGTAGAAATACAGGGAATAAGAGGGGATCCTACTCCAGGTCAGCTGACTAACATGCAAGAGTAAATGTCTGCCTTGAAGAGTTTCGATTCCTTCCATACTGCAGACGTCTTTTACGTTTAAAATTATTCCATCATGAAACAACTAAAAAGCTCAGCGAGCTGTTTATAGCCTTAGTGCAGATTATTTCATGGTAGCCTCACAAGAGTCCTGTGAGGTCAGTGTGAAGGTGGCTGGGGCTGAGGGAGGCCAAGGATTTCGCTCATGGTCAAGTCACAGTCACTTACATGGCAGAGGCGGGCTGAGGGTGGGGCAGAGCGCAGATTTGGCTGATTTCAGAGACCTGGCCTTTCTCTTATTTTTGGGTTGGTACCGGCGATCAAACCCACAACCCCGTGCTTGCCAGGCAGGTGTTTGTGCCACTGAGCTACATCCCCAACTACCTATCTATCTATCTATCTATCTATCTATCTATCTATCTATCTTTGTTTCTTTCCTTCTTTCCTTAAGTTAATTGGCTTTTCTTTATAACTTGGAGCACCTCCATCCACGGTGTGCATGTGTGTGTGTACACATGTGCTTGTGTACGCTTGTGTGCACATGTGTTCACACCAAATACAGTTTCCTCCCTGTGATTTTCTGTAGTCACTGAAATAAGAAAAAGGGGGAAGGAATTCTGGAAAGCAGTTCAGGGTTCCTGCTCGGCCTCCCCTGGAACTCCTGCTGGCGGGCTCTGGGTGGATCTCCCTTTAAAGCCCAGAAAGAGGGCAGGCCACAGAGCTCCGTGTGTTACTCTGAAGCAGCCTCTGTGTTTGTTTGCACAGCTCATTCACCTTTCCAGGGGCTTCCAGAGCCATAAGTGCAAGTTTTCCTCTCCATAACCCAGGAGGGAGCTGATCAGGAACGGGCTCCCTGCGGACAGCTGAGGAGAAGGGGAGCCATAGGCTCCAAAGTCACCCTCTGGGGTCACACAGCCAGGCAGAGGTGGAGCCTGGATTCGCAGGCAGGCGACTGGCTCTGCAGGCTTGGCCTCCGGAGGGCTGCTGTCTCCAGAAGCCACTGGAACCTCCTCTCCCTGCAACTGGCAGTTAAGCTCATGGTCTTGCTAAATCCTCATAAAAGAAACAAAATTACAAAATCAGTCAGCCTCATTTTTAAATGAAAAGTGACTGGGAAGGAAAAAAAAATACACACCCTTAGAAGTGTCTGAAACTAGCCTCCTGATTTAAACCCAATTTGTTTGAAAAAAAATATTTTTTTTCAGCAGAGAGTTTTTACAGCTGAGTTCTCCCAAACCCATAAAAAACAAGGTTTATATGGGAAATAGTGAAAGACTCTTAACTATAATACACAGCGTCTAATGTAAGCAGACACAGACACGATATAAAGCTCCTACCAATGTTAGTAAAACAAACAGAAACGCACATTTATCCCCTCGGAATGGACGACCGAGGCACTGGACTTTAGAGGAGTCCACAAGTCTTAGGTCCATGGAAACAAATCACTGAGATCTCCGTAGGTCTCCGTCCACATGCAAATGCTCCCCTGGTTTTACCAGGGGGATTACAGCCCAGGGTCACCCAGGGAGTGCTGCTTCCTTCCCTGGTTCATGGACCACTTTCTGCCTCTGGAACAGGTACAGAGCAATGCCGGGCCAGTGGCCGTCACAGTGCATTTCTGAACTTCAGCTTCCTCATCTACAAACCAGAGAAAAAGTCTGAGGCCTGACCCCGGGCTCCCTGAGCTGCTCAAGATAGGGGGCTCAAAGCCCTGTACTAGAGTCTGCGGCAAAGCGGTTTGTATTATTTTATGGAACCTGCCCACTGCCTTGGAAGGTTCTTTTAGTTTGTTTGCTTGTTTGGGGAAAGCAAGGGGTGTTGCCAACAGGCTCACGTTTCAGGTACTCGCCCGGGGCACAGAGCCTGATGGTGGGTTCCAGATTCAAAGCCCCTTACTGGGCTTCATCCAGGTGAACACAGGGGTAGGTGGACTGCAGAGCTACCCGTAAGGCAGCATTGTTCCTGAGAAAGACAATGCAAGCTACAAATGTGAGTCATCTGCATAATTAAAAAAAATTTTTTTTTTTGCTTTTTTGAGACAGGGCTCATTATGAAGTCCAGGGTGCCTTTGAACTCGCAGCTATCCTCTTGCCTCGGCCTCCTGAGTGCTGGGATGACAGGTGTGTGCCACTATGCCTGGCCTACAATTAAACATTTTTTTTGGCTGCCACGTTTAAAATGTGCAGAGAAACGGGTAAATTTTAAAATAATATATTCTGTTTAACTCAGAATGCCCCAAATATATTAACACGAACCAATATAGAAATGATT